CTCCTAACCTCTCCCTTGGAATGATACTGAACTCTTTGCTGAAACCTACAGGAAATGCACACCTTTTTTTTCAGGTAACCATCAAAGATGTCAGCCTGAATTATTTAATTATGCTAAAATTAAATGAAAAGTGGCAGGCCATTTTTTGTGGTTTTTACCATAATTTTCCTGCCCAGTAGCTGTTGAAGGTCTCGCCTAAATGAAGGTAACTGATTGAACACTAGTTGAGGAAAAGTGATGCTAGCTCTACCCATAATGCTGTCAAAAGTCGGAGTAAATGGGAGGGGGTGGGATTTCCACCTTTCTGTTGCAGATCTGTAGAAACAAAATATTAAAACAATAGCTTCCTTATTATTACTGCTTGTTTATTCTCTGCTGTAAATTTGGAGAATTACCCCCTTGAAAGTGGTGTAAAGTTTAGTGACTTTGCTTATGTGTACAGTAGAAAGTACTGTTTGGGGACTACCAAAACTGGTTGCCTCAAAATTGGGAAAAACTGTTTCGTAGATCTTCAGAAGCTTAGGAATAATTAATAAACGTTTAAGGGTTTGCTTAATATTTGATGTTTGCTTAATGCAGGTTTTGCTGTCGTTCCAAGTGACCCAAATCAGTCTGGTCCATCATTGGGTTTTTAATGTTTTGAAGGTGAAAAGATACTAGCATTCTTGCTGGTTTTGCAGGAATCTGATTCTTTATTGTTTCATATAACCAAGTTTCTAGTGTAGTACAGGTCAGTCGCATCTTACACAGGGGTTAAGTGCTAAAGTCAGCGCATAAGGTGAAAATCAGCGACTATATGTGGGGGGGCGGGGCTTGAGTTTGCACGCGGCACTGTGCTTAGAGCTGTGTGGCTGATGGCAACAGCGCAGCGCGGGGTGGTGGTGGGGATGGCTGCGTGCCGCCTGGCCACCACCACGGTGCTGCTGCTGCCCGGTGGCTTGGCCACACAGCTCCAGGCATGACTCCATGGCAACAGCGGGAGGTTTTGGAGACAGTGGCTGTCACTGCCATAATGGGCCTCCAGGTAAGCGGCAGCACTGCGTGCAAGCTCAAGCCCCTCCCACCCCACGTATAGTTGAATTTGCGCAAGTTAAATGCATGTATGATGCGACTGACCTGTATAGTGACCTGAGTGCTGCTTTTGTAATAAATCTTGGGCTGGATAAAATTCAAGGCATGCATTTGCTAAGAACTTGGGATCTTCCAGAGATGCAAATATGAACCCAGGAGTTTTATACTGCATTTACTATTGCTGTATCTAAAGACCTCAGAATTTATAACTGACTGTTGTCGGTAGTGTTACACCTATGACTGATTTCCCCCCTACCCCCCCTTTAGTGGCTGATTTACAACCAGCAGATCTGATATGCTGTCTAGTTGAAGACAGTAGTATATTTTCAGATTGTCCAGGTAGTTATGCCTATAGTTATGATGGCCTGCCACTTTTCATGTAATTTTGGCCCAATTAAATAATTCAGGCTGAATATCTTTGCTGTTTGCCTGAAAAAAGTGTGCATTTCCTGAAGGTTTCAGTTAAGAGTTCAGTATCATTCCAAGGGTGAAATTAGGGTGAAAACAATTGCACTTGCTTTTGCCTATGGTGATTAATTCATAGAACTGTTTTTAGTTCTGTGCCAAAACATAGAGCCACACATTATTTCATGATTTTTCTGGTATTTGAAACTTGTATATGGCATGAGTGTGCTTTCTGCCAACCCTGTGAAAATTCATTCTGGGCCCATGTTATGAGCCTCTGCAAAAAAAAATCTCACTGCTGTGCAGTCAGTGATAGTTTGTTAGCATTTGGGCACTGAACCTTCAGAGAATTTCACTTAGGCTTGAACTTGATTGGTCCCTTCACAGCTTGTAATGTTACTCACAGGAGCCAATCGGGCCTTCACTGGCAATTGCTTCTCCCAGCTGCTGGGGGCTGCTATTGTATTAGTCAAATGAGAAGAGGGAGACCACCGCTCCACTTTTAGCCCTATTTATGGTGTTTCCCACATAGTGGGAAGGAACAGAAGAAACACCCTAACAATGCTTAAGAGAAGCAAAAGGTTTGAGAGGATATAGGCTGGAAAGGTAAAGTGACTAACGGTGGGAATAGGGATGCAAGCAAGCTACAAGCAGGATGAGGAATACTTGTGGGGCAGGAGAGGGGGACAGAGTATATGTGGGGAGGAGCAGGAAGGTATGTAACCACTATAGACGCTCCCCTCTGGAAGCCAGGAATGCTGAGCCTCTGCATTCTTTTGATCTCTTGCAGATAGTTGTGAAACCAGCTGACAAAGCTTTCATACCTTTTGGGGCAGATTGAGATAGAAGATAAGATGCTTTCAATACCCAGTAGCAGAGAAAAGGGCTGTAGATGTCAAGATCCCCACCTGTGTGCATGTGGGTTAATTCACTTGTTTTAATACTGCCATTTGTTTTCAGTTAAATAATAGAAACTTAACAATTGCAAAAACACTCGCAAGTTAAGTGTCAGTACTAAGGTACTTAGGCAACTATTAACCCTGTCTCCCCAAGGCATGTTATGAATTTCATTATATTAACATATCCTGTTTTTTCCAACAGGTCCCCTGCCTCATCCAGTGCAGAGTTACCCTATTTTTGTCATGCGTCAAGGATATGTCATGAAAGTAGCTGTTGTGTCTATTGCAAAAGTTGAAGAGGACGTGGTGAATGAAATGGGAACTGCAGTGAGGGAAGGGTTGCTGTTATGGTGAAGGTATCTTAATGCTGCCTCTGCCGTAGAGTGCTTTATATGAAGTTGGGCAAGTCATATAAATGAAAATATTTATAGGTAACTAGTTCCTGTTCCTCGACTACTTCACTTGAAACACTTAGGGTCAACTCTGCAAGAAGTGTGCACTCTCAGCTGCCACAAAATTCAGTGGGATTTCTGCTCTGCATGTAACATGCTGTAAAATGCTAAGTACTCTGAAAAAATTAGCCAAGGCTGCTTGAATCCTATTTTCAGTCAATTTCTGACTTTCTAACCCATTTCACCCCATGTGCAAAACAGAAATGATCCCTCTCACTTCAAGCATTCTTATGAAGATCACTTTTATTTGTAAAGACCTCCTGTGGTACTTGCACTATCAGAAAAAACCCAAGAAAAAATTAAATTTAATATTCAGTGGATGGTGTGCAAGATATATAGCATAGGGTCACACATTGAGAAGAATATGGAGTAGTTAGGATTACTGGTCACTCAATGAGGCTGGGAGTCTCTAGGAAAGGTGTAGTTGGGTGATCAGGGATCCTAGAAATTAGTTTGCCATGGAGAAACATGGAATTTGTGTTTTTTATAGGGAATCTTTAGAATTGGCCGGGGGAACCTTACAGAAAATAAAATGCTGGCTTTCCAGGAGAAGCCAGCAGTTACTACAGCCTCTGAGGCAGACTGCCAGGGAGAAGCCACCAGCACACGGAAGCAGCTGAGATGGCAGCTACCTTCGCCTCCCTCTGCTGCTGATTAGCTGAGAGTGCTGCCCATTGTGTGACCTCACCCCTCTCTGCCACTGAGGGGCAGGGCCACATGAATGACAGTCCATATCCAATCAGCAGCAAGGGGTGGGGCCACCACAAGCCCCACAGCCAGTCAGTGCTGGGGGGAAGCTTACCACAGAAACACATTTTTATTTTTTTTAACAGACTTCTGCTCTTTTCATAGCAAAAAACTATGATCCCTAACAAGACCATCAATGCTATACATAAGGGTGCTGAAATCAGGTCTACAGTAAATTTAGGTTCATTCTTGCTAGATACTCAATTTCAACTATGTTTAAGAGCTAGGAAGCAGAGAAATTAGTCATTTCTTTGACTTCTTAGTGCTCATCTACAGGTAAAAAAAATCTTGGTTAACATCTGTACTTGATAACTGAGAAATTTGGATGAAATATTCAAACAATTAAAATTTTTGATATGCTGGCAAGATTTATGATAGAGCAAGTATTTTATTTAGGAGAAACTAGGCTTCTAGATTAAAAAAAAAAAGATTGGGTATACTACAAATTCTATAATCAGTACTCATGATATTTAAACTAATTCTGCACTAGGTTCTTCAGCACTGTAGCATAAAAGGCAACATCTCAAAACCAAAAGAGCTGTTTGAATAGAATTAATAGCTTGTTGGGTTTTTTTTTTCCATCTTTGTCAATTTTCCTACTCTGATCCTTCAAAGCCTTTGCCCAGTCATGGATCTGAAGTAATAGTTGAGTTGTCCCAAAACAGAAGTCTGTTCATATCCACTCCACTGTGGTGGTGGTGTGCAGCTAGGAAAACTGCCCCAAAGGGAGCCTTTGAGCAAGGATGGATGAAAGGACCCCAGCCCAAAGGTCAACACTTCTGTCAGAAATGGAAGGTGCATCAATGTGCAAGGTGCTTTCAAGAGGACAGAGGCAAAAAACTTCAGAGGCAGAAACATTTGGGAGAATGAGGATTGTGTATGAATTGACAACAGGCAATCCATAATGATTTAAGACAAAACTAGAATTTCATCCAAGATGCACACACTTCCATAATCACTGCAAAAACTATCTAGAGAATAGAAACTTAAAATTTATCCTACATCATTCTTAAGGATCTTCTTGGTATAACAAAACTAAATTTATTTTATCTCAAGATTAAAGGGATGTGGCCAGCTTGGAGAGAGTTCAGAAGAGGGCCACCCATTTGGTGAGAGGGCAGCAGGACAGGCCCTATGAGGAGACTGAGGGACCTGAACCTGTTCAGCCTTGGCAAGAGGAGGCTGAGGCGGGGACCTAGTGGCTGTCCTACAAACTCATCAGGGGAGATGAACAGCAAACAGGAAGAGCCCTATTCTCCCCAGCACCACCTGGGGTGACGAGGAACAATGGTAATAAGCTGATGGAGAATAGGTTTAGGTTAGAGATGGGGAAGCAATATTTTACAGTCAGGGTGGCCAGAATCTGGAACCAACTTCCTAGGGAAGTGGTCCTTGCCCTTACCTTGGGTAGATTCAAAAAAAGGTTAGATAATCACCTGTCTGGGGTCTCATGAACCCAGAATTCTTTCCTGCCTGTGGCAGGGGGTCAGGCTAGATGATCTGTTCAGGTCCCTCCTGACCCTAGCTACTATGAAATATTAGTAGGTGACAACATGAAATTCACCAAGTTCAATTTTTTTATTGAAAAAGCACATTTTCAGGCTTATATTTAGAAAGTGAGTACAGCAGTTTTCCAGAAATATATGGACACTGGAGATGGGGAAAGGAATTTTCAGTTCTGAATATGATCTTCAAAATCCTGTCATATTTTTCAAAATCCTTAGCTTCCACTTTGGTCAGAAAACTCTGCTGACAAGTTCAAACATGACCTGTGGAATAATGAGGTTATTAATAAATATTTATTAATAAAGAGTTGTACATTGTGAATTCTCCTTAACATTACAAAAATAAGACGAAAGCATCCAGATTATCTAAAAATAAATTGGTTATAATAGCAACCCAAAAGAAGAAAAAACCTTGGTGAGATTTTGCATGAAATAACTAGTGAAGAGTTATTGCCATGTACAGCAGGCTACAGAAAAGTAACATTGTAGGATTTTTTCCAAATCATTCCCTATAAATCATAAAGCTGCATTTACACCCCTGCAAGAGTATAGTTCTTGGATCCACACAGCTTCATTATTTTGTTCCGCAGGGTGATGCTGAGAAGCTTGGTGATTGAACATCCAACTAACCTCTATGGTGATAAGTATGACTATCATCCACTCCAAGCGCAGGGCATGCTTTTCATTCAGGTGATTGCGCATCAAGTCTGTCAGATCCATACAATGCTGCAGTTTCTCATTCATTACCTGTTGCAGGAAAGGGGGATTTTAAGTCAACAGTTCAGGTATATGGAGAACTTAAGCTGAACAGATATAGTACTTCCCAGAGAGGTTGCAGAATCTTCATCCTGATTTCATAACAACAGGCTCCCTAGAGAAGCTGTGGAATTTCCATCCTTAGAAGCTTTTAAGAGCAGGCTAGGCCACTTGTCTAAGATGATCCTGCCTTGAGTGGAATTGGACTAGATGACCTCCTAAGGTCATTTCAAATCCTACATTTCTATGATTCTATGAAATCATTAAAGAAAGCTAACACAAACCAGAAAAGGGTTAACTGAACCTGACTTCTACTAATTGAAGCTGTCCATTATAAAAGAGTAGGGCTGGAAGAGACCTCTGGAGGGCATCTGTTCCAGTCCCCTACTCAAGGCAGGATCATCCCCATAATGTATACCATACAAGCCCTTGTCTAATGTATTCCTAAACTTATGCAATCAATCTTAGTGCTTAGCTACCAGGATACCAAACACCTTAACTTGCAAAAGAACTACAGAGGGCCTCTAAGTACAAGATTTTTGATTAAAGATACTCTGATTCATTTAGCAGATTACATGAAAACTTGAAGTGTTATTTAATAAAAATGCAGGCTCACAGGAACTCAACTGAATGGTGTTAAATCATCTGTCTAATTTAAAACCTTGAAAATGCAAGGTAGCACAACTTGGAATAACCAACGTATTTAAAAAAAGAAATGTGCACACCTTTCAGGTGGTGTCAGAACTGTTTCTGCATGCTGATGTGCAAACACCAATCAAATGGACTGAATGCCTCAACTTATGAAGCACAGATGTTTCTGATCAACGGGGAAAGAATAGAATGCTCCAGACCCTCCTAATCTAAACACAACATTAACTCCATCATATTGATTAGAATAATACTAAGTTTAGTGTTTAATTTTAAAATAAATCCAATTTTTATTTATTTCTGTAAATACTGTACTCTAATTTAAATTTTAAAGGCAAGGTAAGAAAGCCTGATTTGTAAGACTAGCTTTTACAGGGAGAATGGCATTACCCTTCAGTTATGTTCCAGGTGAAATTTCAGATATTTCTTTTGACGTAAACATTCTGAAGTAGTTTGAGTTATTACTAATGTAATAATGCTACTTTCCCCAAGCAATGTTATGGCAGCTGATGAACAGAAATATCTCTGGAGCATTCAGAAAGGGAGCAAATGGAAAGGTACTTTGAGTAAAGGGTCATCTTAGAAGTGTACTCAGCTGTCATCCCTGGCTTCTAGTTTAAAAAAATGCAAACGTCTTGGCCAGCAACTCTACCTTTCTATACTGTTGTACAGAAACTTGCACTTTCTGGGCATTACTTTGAAAAAAAAAATTTTCAGGCAATATGGCTAGACTTATACCAATCAACATGTTACCAGATGGGGCCAACAGCCTGTTGTTGGCACAGGCTGGAGCAGCAGACTCCACAGCAGAGGGAAGCAATGCAAAATGGAGGTGACAGCTCTATGAGACTGATTCTCTTGTGTCAGACTGGATCTTTCTGTGCGTCAGATATGACCTGCAGGCCACTGTTGCTGACCCTTGCTATAGGATCAGCTGTCCTATAGGATCAGCTGTGATTAACTGTCTTTTTATTAAGCAGTAGAGACCAGTATTTTCTAGCAGGTAGCTTAGAGGGGTCTAGTAGGATTCTTTCTGGATTATTCATAAAGAAAACTCCCACAAGCAATTAAGTGCAATATTTAAGTCCCTTCAAAACGCTTGTAGGTATTTGATTCCTTTTCTTAAGGGACAATGCCAACAAGAACCTTGCTTTGCTTTCTGTTGCATCTCATTCACTTTTATTTCTGTTGCTGGCTCTGACTAATATCAATACAGTAGCATATAACTTCTAATGAAGTTGATGGCAGCTGACCTCTGGATTAAGCTAGGGCACATGCTTATGCTGCTAATGAATACCACCCATTCTAGTGGTTCATTACAATAT